TTGCTTGCATGTATGTGAGTGCACCCATGTTGTGCAGTGCCACGGAGGTCAGAAGAGGGCTTTGGATTCCCCTGGAACTGGAGTTAAGGACGGTTCGTAGCCGCCATGTGGGTAGTGGGAATCGAACCTGGGTCCTCTGCAAGAGCCATCAGTGCTCTTACCTGCTGAGCCATCTCTCTAGCCCCACTTTTGGGTTTCTTAAAGAGGACCCTGATTACAAATTAGTTAAAAATCACTGGCTCCTGACGGGGTCTTAGACCTGACAGCACTCCTACCTACCTATCTACCTATCTGGTCATCCCTCCCTCCCTCCCTCCATCCTCCACTCTCTCTCATCCATCCATCAATCATCTATCTATCTATCTATCTATCTATCTATCTATCTATCTATCTATCTATCTATCTATCTAATCTATCATCTATCTACCTATCTGATTATCTACCTACCTACCTACTTACCTGCCTACCTCCCTACCTCATAGCCCAGGCTGGACTTGACCTTGTGATCCTCCTACCTCCTAAATGCTGGGATTATAGATTTGTACCACCACACCCAGCTTGAATAGTCAACTTTCCATGCTAGATAAAACAAGATACCCCCCCAACACACCATAAAAGGAAAACAGTCAACTAGTCTTTGTTGCCTACTTTGTCTACAGAAAACACAGTTGTATCTATCTATGAATTAGATGGTGAGCTCTGTCTCTAAACAAACAAAAAATATCAGGCGAGTGCTGGCTTTTCAGGACAGTCTCCCGTTTTCCCTGCTCCTCCAAGGACTTGGAGAAATAGGTTCCTTTGAGGACCCAGATCCAGTCTTAGGTTCTGCCACATGCTATACTTGATCTCCCTGTTGGCATGTGGGTGTCCAGCTCTCTGGGCTAGAGTTTAAAAAATTTCTCTCTCTCTCTCTCTCTCCTCTCTCCTCTCTCTCTCCTCTCTCTCTCCTCCTGTTTCGTGGGATTTCTGTCAGTTTGCTGGGGGGAGATGGGACTGCCCTGTCCAA